TTAGTTATAATAAGTATATTAATAAAAGTTAAGGCTACGAGTACTAAGTAAATAGTATTATAATTATAAATAGCTTCTCTAAAGCTATATCTATAAGTTATAGGATAAGTAAGGCTTTAGTAATTAATTATAGTCTTATTAAAAGAGGTTTTTAATAAAAATAGCTAAAAATAATTATAAAATTTAATACTAAGTTAATTATTAAAAAAGCTATAAAAAGTCTATCCTTAAGCCCGGCTTAAGTTTATACTATATATAAGTCTCGTTCCTAAATATATCTTTTATAACGTCCCTATTTATTATTATTTAACTATTTACTAAACGGTCGTCTATCTTATTTATTTACGATTATTCGTCTTATTTATTTATAAGCATCCGTTCCTTATTTTATTATATAATCGTAGTTACGTAATTTATTTATAGTTCTTTTATCCTAAGAGGAGTTATTTTAAGTCCGTACTTCTATATATATAGTATAATAGCTATTATAAGTCTTATAGGGCGAGGCCCTAGCCTTATTATACGTATTAGGTTATAATACTTATATACTTTATTATTACGATTTTAAAAAGTTTTTATATATTTTTAGTATTATATAAGTTTTTTTTTATTTTTAATAATAGCTCTTTTACTCCGTTATTATTATTATTTTTATTATAATTAAGTCTTTATAATAGTTTATTTACTAAGTTCTTAATACTTAGTTTAAACCTAATTTTAATATTAAATATTACGAGTTCGTTTAGTTAGTATAACTATTTCTTATTTAGCCTTTTTTTAGTATTTAGGAACTATAAATTAAAATAGTTTATAAATATTACGACCTAATTTTAGCTATAGGCAAGGTAGTATTATTAGTTTTTTAGTATATTTACGATAGTTAATAGCTCCGTATTTTTTATATTATAATAGCTCTCTATATTTATTAATTTCTTTAACTTATAAATAATTAGGTATTAATTATTTTTAAATAATTACGTAATTACTAAGCTAATAGCTCGAGCTAAAGCGTTTATTTATAATTACGTAAATAGGGTAAGGTTAAAATATTATAATATTAATATATTAATAAATATTATTAATAACTTCTTAAATAACTTTATAATAAGTATTAATAGCTCTAATTATCCTAGCTTCGCTTCTTTTAATAAGTTTATTAAAAATACGGTTATTTTAGTATAGTTATTAATAAATTTATAGTAAAACCCCGTAAATTTAAAAAACGTTTATATATTTTTAACGTTTTTTAAAAGTAGTTAATTTATTATAGTTTTAGTACGCGCAGGTTTTATTTTTATACTTTTATTAAATATAATATACCTTAAGAATTTTATATATAATATATAGAACTCGTATTTATTACTATTTAGATATAAGTTCTATTATTATAATTTTTATAATATACTACGTACGTACTCTTTATATACTACGTAATTATTATTATATATTAAAATATTATCTAAGTATATAATATAAATAGTATTAACTAGGCTACTTAAAACGTTATTAATATACGCTTAGAAAGTCGTAGGTACGTTAGTTAGCTCGAAAAGTATAATTAAGTACTCGAACTACCTATATTTAGTATAAAAAGCCGTCTTTTACTTATTACCCTTAGCTATATATATATAGTAGTACGCGTTCTTAAAGTTTAGCTTTATAAAAATAGAAATATTAAATAATTTATTTAGTATTTCGCTAATTAGTAGTAGCAGCGTTTTATCTTTTTATATAATTTTATTAATTATTTTATAATTAACGTAAAATCGTAGCTCTCCTCTTTTTTTAAGTATAAATAGGATAGGTACTTTAGCTAGGCTTATAAAAGGGCATATTTAACCCCTAGCCTCTATTTTTATTAAATAATCTTATAAAATCTCTAGTTTATAGTTCGATAATAAGTAAATAGGTCCCTAGGGAATAGGTATAGCGTTATTTAGTTTAATATAGTAGTTATATAGTGCTCTATTTAATAACGAAATAGCTTTTTTTTTTAAAAATAAGTTATTAAAGTTTTAATATCGTAGTTTTTAATCCTTAGCTACGCTCGCTAGTATTATATTACTATTTATAACTAAGTTAATTATAATATATACGAGTATTATTAAAACTAAGTCGTTTAGTAGCCCCTTTTTTAAAGTATTTAAGCGGATATATTATTTATAAATTAGATATTATTACTTTTTTTATTTTTAACTAATTAGTAAGTTAATATCTTCTAACTAAGGGAAACTAAATATAAGTATAAGTACTATAATATTAGCTATTACGAAGCGATATAGCTATGTTTTTATTACGTAGTTATTATTAGTAATTCGAAGCTATAAGTAATAGCTCCTTAACGTCTCTATTTATTTACTTTTAATATTTACTAACTACGACGATAGATAAATTCGTAAATTAGTATTAAAGCTATTAAATAGCCTAATACTAATTACGTTCTTTTTTATTCTTAAATTAATAAGGGCGCTTAGCTTTTTTTATATATAGTTTAAGTATATATAAGTTAAGATATCTAAGTACCGCCCTTATTAATTACTAATTACCCTCTTTATTAAAATAATATTCGAGTTTATTATTAATCTGCGCTACTTAACTAGAGCGAGGTTTAATTAATAATTAATAACCTTATACCCTTTTTAATTATACTTATAATATATAACGCTTAAATAGCTATTAGCGAGGTACCTAGTTTTATTATAGTTATAATATTATTAATATTACTCTTATAGTTATAAGTAATCCCTTATAATATAACTAGTTTTTTTATAATTATAATACGTAGTATTCTTATTAAGAAAGTTATGGCATATTTTTTATATAATTAGCTTATTAACGCCCCTATATTTCCCCGCTAGCTTATTTAAGTTTAAATTAAAATATTACTTAGGGGACGTTTATAAGCTCCTTATTAATAATAAGGATTACTTAATATATCTTATTAACGATACTAACTATAAGTAAGTTTATAAAAGTTCTATTTATAATACTATTACGAAGTATAATTCGGGCCGTAGCTTATTTATTAATATAAAAATCCTCTATTTTTTTATTAAAATATATTTTAGTTCTATTTTAAGCTTATTAATATAATTAACGAACTTATTAACTCTCTTTTTTTAGTTTTATAAAATACTATCTAAATATATATTCACTACTATCCCTCGGTTAGCGGGATTAAATAGGTTATTTTATAAAAAAGTTTTTAGTTCTTTTTATATAACTTAGTTTATTATAAACTTAGGGACCTTTTTATAGTTAAAAATATAATATATTTAAGAGGTTTTTATATTATTACTTAGGTAGCTAACTATATATATTATTTTATTACGGTCTATTCTTATTTATTAAGCTTATAAATCGAAGTAATAATAGTAATTAAATAAAAAGCTTTATAGGTCCCGTATTAATTTATTAATATATAATAAGTTAAGGAGGGATAGTAGCCTAAACGTAAATATTCTATTTATAGTACTTATTTAAGTTAAAAAAGAGCTAATAAATAGAAGCTTAAGTAGTACGAACTTATTATTTTATTATTATTTAAGTAGCGCTTTAAATATAGCTTTATTTATTAAGCTATTCTTAGTCTAGGGGTTTATATTTTTATTTATATTAAAATTAATATTTAAAGCTATTATAATTAAAACCGTAGTTCTTAGTATAGGGGTTAAGCTATTTAAAAAGCTTTATAAGCGTTTTAAATTTATTTATTTTTTACGTAATTACTTTTTATATGTTATTATAAAAATTTCTTTTTCTAATTATTATTCTTATTTTTATAGTTTTATTAGTTTATTATTTATTATTTAGTTTAAGTATTAGTAAGTAAGGGTAAGAGGTTCGCTATTTTATTTAAAATTCGTTAATATTTTTAATAATACGGTCCCTCTACGTTATTACTATATAATTCGTTTTATTATACTCCGTTTTTATATTATTTATTAAAAAAAAAGTAATTTTAAAAAGTTTAATAAAAATAAGTTATTTTTTTATTATTATTATAGTACCGATTATACTCTCTTATTACGTCTTATTTTTATTAGTATTTTAAGTTCTTAGCTTAGTCCTTTTTATAAATAAAAATTTTAAATTATTAATAAGTATATAATATAAAAAAGAAGTTTATAAAAGCTAATTATTATTAAGGTTTAAAAAATAAATTATTAAAATCTACCCTTCTTTCGAGGTATATTATTAATACTCTATATATACTTAAGCTACTCCTTTATTACTTAGTCCCCCTCTTTATACCCCTTGAGCTATCTCTTAACTAACGGGGTCTAACTAGCAAGGCTTAATATTATATTTATATAATTTAAGCCGGATTTCCCCAGTGGTGCGTTTACACACTTAATAAAGTCTAACTTTAAAGAGCCGGAACTGACAAGCAGCAAAGCTCCCAACTTCTTAATAACTGGTCTTGAGGATCTCGCTACCGGCTTTCTCCGACAGCCTTGGAGAATCGCCTGGGATAGCATCTACAGCCTCACTACTAGGGGCGGTGAGACCTTGCAGTTCGACAACCAGTTTGTCATGTGGTGGAAGTGAGCCCATCTTCAGGATATTAACACTTGACCGGACCGAAGCATCAATTCGTTTCATTCGTCCCTCTCGTAGGAGGCATCGGTTGTGGTGTTATGTACACCATTGAGTCGGCGATGAGGATGAAGATAATGGTAGTCATTTGGCCTGGTCAGTGAAATTGGGCGCGCTCGAACATGTTGCTTCTGGTCTTTCTTTCTTATCTTTTTCTTCCTGATTAGCCACCCTTAGGAGGTGTTTGGCACTGGTCGCTCCAGGGGTCGGGTTAACCTCAGTCCCTGCTTCACGACACACTGTACTTCCGGGTGCCCATTGCCAGCTAGGGTCTTTCCTCATTAATCACAACTTTCATGCAGCCATAGAATAAGACGCATCGCTACTCAGATTCTGCCAATTACTACGAAATTAACTAGGGAAAACGGGTCTGAGTCTGGGAAATTTCAGAATTCTGACCGTTAACGCAGCGATTCTCCCCTTGCCCACTGCTCATCAGTATGTCCGCGAACTGCCTTTAGGTACTTATTAAAAGCAGCAGAAGTTTTGATAACTTGGCTGAGGTGTTCCCAGTCCAATCGTTCCTTGCGATGCTTCGCAAGTTGTCGCGCCGTCAGTAGCGCGTTCCGGATTTGTCTGCCGTTCATCTCTTCTGATGCCAATTGGTCGAGTCGTCTTTGTAGTTCCGGCATGTTGGCATCTTCATCAGTTGACTCCTCAATCATGTCGAAGAAGTTCTGCCAGATTGCTTTACGGGACATCTTGGTGAGGTTGTCGTAGTGAATCGCTACCTGGATGCGAGATTTGAATGCCTCGTCAAACGTTCCGACGCGGTTGGACGTCAGTATGAGAATGCCTTCGTAGTACTCGAGTAGCCTTAAGAAGACTGCGTGAAATGATTAGGTCAAGTAAATAAGTGTCCGTGTCGGACACTATACGAGGCTACACATACCAGATACAAGACTGTTTCGCTGCAAGTCTGCCATAGTTCTCTCTTCCAGGAAAACGTCCGCTTCATCCAACAGAAGAACTAGTATCCCAACGTTAGTTTGCTTCAAAGGTGTAGGCCAAAGTGCTTTGAACTAATGATGACAGACCGCAATCCCAAGTTTTCCCCAAGTACATCACCGTATCAAGATATTTCTCTACCTCATTAGCGTTGATACCAATGTCTCCGCAAGTAACTCGGTACAACGGCTTTTCTGCAATCTCTGCAACACTGTAGAGATTTTCAGCTCCTCGATATTGGCGGTGATCTGTTACATGACCAAAACTCACCTTTCTGCCGTCAATGTCTTGCCAGTCCCGGGACTTCCATGGAGAAGTATTATCAAGCCGTTGCCTTTCCCAGTGATGATGTCATCCATCTTCTTTGCCGAAGTCTGGACGTCGACGAGTGCACGAATCATTTCCTTGATCTTGACATCCAATACAAGGCGATCAAATGCCCTGTGATTCCAGTCTACTTCATGGATATTATCGACAAATAAATTGACTGTAATAAGAGGGCGTCAGTATCCTTTCCGTTTATAGGGATCATCTCAGTCCTATGGTTCTTACCCCATCTCTTTTCCTTAAGGTTGAAGCCATGGATCGTGGCTGGTAGCAGCAATTCAGCTTTCTGCGGCAAGTCTTCTCGACGGTTGACCCTCATAGGCCACGGATCATACATTGGCAGCATCCCAGATAGCGAGAACATAGAGTTACCATGCATGATTTGATATGTTGCTGTGTCGATCATGAACCTTGCAGAGACCTAGCGGGTAGTTAGCGTCTTCCTCACATGGCCATTTTCGAAGGTCGTTTTTCCAACATATTTTTGTTTTGACCCTCTGTCCCATCCGGTGTAGCAGGTGTACACTTGATCTCTCATGCCCCAGAACTTAATTCCCCTTTGAGATAAAATCTGTACGTCTTCTTCTCTAGCGAATTCAATCGGATGAATAACGAGATCGCGGATTTTCGTCTTCTCCTCAGATACCATGCTAATTTGACCGAGTTCTGGAGTTCGTTCCAAGTCGTGTCCATTGAAGTCCCATCTCCAGCCATGAAAGTAAATCTCTCCTCTCATTGGGGAGAACTTTTCCAAAATAAAGGCAACCTGGGGCTCTCCTTTATGTTTCATAAGAAGCATTTGGTTTGGCTTGAACAACTTCGGGATATGGTAATCGTTGATGTACCCCTGGAGAATCATCTCTTCGGCCTCCGCGTATTCGGCCTCGTATCGTTCCTTGAGAAAGTTTGTTAGAGGTAAAATTACATCTCGGTATGCTCCAGACACTGAAAGTTCTTCCAGCTTCTTCCGGTGATGGAATAAAAATAGATACGGTGCCTCCATTTCTGAAGAAAAATCGTTTTTTCCACCGTTAGGTGAAAACTCCGCAACCTGCTTCAAGGCTTTCAGGAGTGCGGATGAGGTGATTATGAGTTTCTCTAGCCTAGCCGAAGCAGCCCCATCATATTGACCGCGAAACCTTTGTTTTTGCCAGTGATCCTCAGATCTCTGATCCTGAGCGCAGCGGTGCTCCCGTATGATTATGAAGCAGAGCAACGGACGGATGCTTGCCCATGTCTCGAGATGAAAGATCTCACTTTCAGCATGGAGCCATCCCGGATGGTCAGGAGTTTTCATCCTTCGCGTCACAGGTTCATCTTCATACAGTTTTCCGTCGTGCTCGTGAGACTTGGCGGAACAACAGATTCGATGAACAACTTGTGACCCCTGAGGTTGGCTGACAGTTGCTTCTCCATCTTTTGAATCAATGCCACGGCCATCACCTAGACCACTACTAAGACCGCTACCAGGGCCGCTAACAGGGCCACTGCGTGAGTCAATGAGGGGGTTGATAGCACCAAGGTATCGTACTTGTCTCTCCAAAATCTGTATTGTGTCGAGAAGGTAGGACACGAAGGTGGATACCTCCTTACCCTGGTCCAGGACGTCAATGCCGAGATGTTTTTCTGTCATTGCGGCGAGGGCTTCGGCAAGATTAGTACCACGCTCGGAGCTTTCCTTTTCTTCAAGGGTTTGGGTTTCGATAGATTTCCTCTTCTCATTGCCACGGTGATGATTGTCGACTATTGAGTTCTCAGCGCCTCCCACATCAGTCTCTTTCGAGCTTGCTTCTGAAGGTATCTTTCTTCGAGCTTGAAGTTTTCTCCGCCACTCTGTGTCCTTCGTTGCTTTGAAACGCGGTAAAGGCAGTGATGTGAGGGGCCTTGGTGGTTGAGAAGGAACTCCGGTAGAGGCAAAAGGTGGAGGCTTGGGCCCCTGTGGTAACATCCGGGTTGGTGGAAGTTTGGTAGGAATGCTAGAAGTTGGCGTAGGTGAGAAGACTATCCCTTTCTCGGGCCGCCTTGGAGTTGGTAGACCCCGCACGTCTCTAGAACTATGCAGTTGCAAACCTGGAGGTTTTTTCAGCATTCAGACCACCAGAGCACAGAACTAAGTAAGCTTACTTCCGTGAGTCGATTGCTTCTCAAGGTGCGATAGCATGCCTTGTTCCTGCCTTGCTTGGGGCAGTGTATCATCCCGTGAGATGGTTGGACTGATGAATAGTTCACTTGTATCAGTGCCTGAATCCGAGTGATCTCCATCCGATTCCGAGCCTGAGTTCCCGACAGGGAGGTGGCCTTTTGGCCGGTGATGGCTCGGCTCTCCCCCCATCGAAACGGACGATGCATCTGAGTCAAAGGACATGGCTGGCGTACGGCGTATTGAAATACGGAACAGAATGAAAATGATCGTGAAAATCTGGAAGGCCCAGATAAAGAGTTCAGTCGATGTTTCTTGGAGAAGCATCGGGACAGCAGGCTTTGCACCCGTGGCTCAAGGGCCAGATCTACGCCATCAATCAGGCTGGCAGGCAACCTTCCCCCCAGCCCGACACACGTGGCTTTGTCAGATGACTGCATTCGCTTGCGCGGGATTGGTCCACTGAGCACACATCATACTGCCCATTGTGCTGGTGTACTAGCCCAATGAGATCTCGGCCGTGTGCGTTGACAGGTGCTCGAAGAGCGAGAAACGTTTTCACAGCTATGTAAAAGTATGACACAATCTCGCTTTCTACATCAATCTGAACGAGAAGCCTGTGCTGATCCTACCACTTCTCGCCTAAATACAACTCAACCACACTCGAAGTAGAAACGGAGACTATATGCTAAGTCAAAGTCATGAATGTTTATCTCCTAGAATGATAGAGGATCTAAACTTGTCACTAAAGTTCTGGTGTCCTCTTTTGAACGCAGCCCTAAACCTGGGCTGTTTCATTAGCCGCTCAATCTTCCGCCCTCTATCAGTAAATAGACGCCTGTCATCGAAAACAGACTCGACATCTATGGAGATATTGGCGTAAAACTTCCACGATACAACGATGACTTTAACAGTTCCCCCTTCTGATTGCAAAACTCGGGTGATATGTTCTACGAAGTCACTCATCTTGAAAACTTGATCCTCAGCCTCTCTTTGCTCTAAAGCAGATTCAATGGCATTCATGTCTAGAACAATGAGCAGCCGCTGAAAACTTGACATGCAGCGCTGAAATATATCAAACCATTCACTAATGCTGACAGCGGACTTGAAGTGTTTGGGAGTGAGAGGATTAATGCCTTCGCTTACCACAGCATCATTCAATGCCAGAGCCTGTGAAATGAGTGACCGGATGATACCCGAGACTGATACTTTCAAACTATCATCATCGACGTCAGTGACGATAGAAGACAAAGTCCAGATTACGGGGTATCCTTGCTCAAGCACTGTATCGAGGAAATCAGCTGCAAAGTCGAGTGAACTCGTCTTCACCCCTTGCCCTTCCGCGAGTAAGAGGGAGGATGAGGGATCAGACGTCCAGGCTTTCAGTTTGTATAATTCTGACAGAGGGAGTTGTGTGGGCGCTTTCTGTCTACGTCGATTGCGCATCGATCTGCACCATGCCAGGCTGTCATCCGCTACTGCCGTATCCTCCAGTAGTGAGACTGTCCTGATGTCCTCAAGTTGGCTGGCTCTGAACATTTGTTTATGTTCTTCTTTCAACGCCAGTAGTGACTGGGTCTGGAGAGACTGCTGCTGCTGCATGACTTTGAACTAGTTAGAATCAACTCTAGAGAACCAACTGGCCATGTCATGCCCTGAACTTACAAGAAACCATCTCTGTCAACTGCAATATGGTCTTATTCTGCCTGTGAATATTGACATGTAGGTCTCGGATCTCAGCCTTGACCGCAGCGCTAGCCAGCTCATCCACATGTTTGGACCGCTCTGCGATTTCCTCAACGATAGGTTTGAACCCCAGACTGAATGGCTTGATGATGGCCGTGAAGGAATGAGACAATTTGCCTTTCTTGTACCACTTGATCGCCGTCAATGCGAATTCTATGATCTTTGCGTATAGCTGTGATACAGCGTCCTGCATCCGTGGCGTGGGATAAAGCACAGAGTGTAGCTCGGTTCTAGGCAGCACGAGTGCGATTCGAGACACCGCCTTCGATATCTCTACAAGGAGCTCTTCATGATTGAGGACAGCCTATGTAAGTTTGATTAGCATGACGCTAAGATGACTGAAGCGATGCGATGATGCTCACAACGAATAGGAACTTCAACGCGCCCCAGCCCAAAGACACGTATTCAGGGTGATGTTGTGAGAAGGTGTCAAATATCGCTTAACAGTAAATCAAGAATTAGTGCATGCTCTTGCTTTACGAAATTGACGACTTGTTTCCCACAGCTTACCTCCATAGAACATGATTCTGGATGAGCAGGTCGTCAAGACAGACTGAATTTTGGATCCTTTGGACTTCGCCTGGTACTCCTGCCGGGCAGACTCGACCGCAGACTGCACATCACTCATGGAGTGCTGACTTCGGAGCCGTAACTGTTGATACTCTTCATCTGTAAGCTCTTTTCGCAAGATTGCGATAGCGTTATCGTATGCATTCTTCGCGGGATCGGACCATCTAGCAGTATCACGGTCAGCCGAAAGATCCGTAGACTGTCTACTATTTACACAAGGGACATAACTGACCTCTGCTGTGGGTCGCTGATGTACCATCGTGAAATCAAACTCCCGTCGTGACTATCAGCAACTACACCGGGAAGCTGAGAGACTGCTGGGTAGCTCAAGTTCTCGTATGGCGCAAGATTGGAGGTAATGGCGGAGGCCTGGAGTATGGCTTCTAGGCCCCGTTGCTGTGACGGTGCTTGCATGAAGCTCATCACATAATTCGCGAGATAATGCACGCTTGAGAAAAGCCCGCGTTGATGAAAAGGACAAGGCTGGCTTCGAGTTTCAAGAGCGACAACGATGTTGGTGTTGCCTGATTGAAGACCACCCCTCCTTACACAACTCTGGACGTAGTGCTTACGGCAAGACATTGACCCGAGCAACGTGAGGTGCAGATGCCCTTGAACACTTTCTCCTATCAAAAAGCAGGGTGATTGTGCTGACTACATCATGATTGGCGGAGAGTGGTCGGTACGCCTAACGTGAATATGCCTTACAAGCACCCAAAACATCTCTGATTCCATTGGCACAAGGCCGGCCATTCAAGCTATGGCTGTGTTGGATCTCTTCGCTCCGGGATGGCGGTCCAATGCAACCGGGTCTGTACCAAAAGGGGAACATTCAAGACAAGGAGTCGGTAATGAAGTACAATTACACAGCAAAAGCAGCTTAGAGCCAAGTCAAGATTGTACACACGGAGAAAAGACTCCCATTCCTCAACACCAACCTAGGTCATACTTCTACATATACGAACAATTAATACATCCCGAGCCATGCAATTGCAGCCGCCCGTTGACGCCGCGTCTTCTCTTCATTGTGGGGGATGAAATAACATCATCTTAAGCCTCGTCGTAATCTTTCTTCCATAGAAATCGTCGCTTGGAAAAAGCAAAGCGCGCGCAAAAGGAGGGGTGCGTGAAGGACAGCACTTTCAGCGTTCCTTCACACCACCAGTCGTGAGACTGACCCAGTACCCCTCCCTCCAATCATGACAAAAATCAAGTCTATTATACCTCCTCTGCAGCAACGGACTCGTAGCCGCCTGCTCTCCTCCGGCCTCTGCTCATGTTCATCAAGGTCGGGCTCTCGTACATTGCGGTGTAGTTGACAGGCTCGCCACCCAGCATGGCAGAACCGTTCTCGCGCTGACCAAACGTGGGCGCGGGATCGCACCAGAAGTCGCGGCAGTTGGCCATGCAGCCGTTGGAGTAGGGGTTCTTCTTCCTGCGCTTGTTCTGGGTTGCGGCGCCGCGACCGCGGATGGTCTCGATGAAGGGGTCGACACCAAGGAGACGAGACCATTGTTGAAGACGGCCGCCCTTGTGCTTGTGGCCATGAGCGTGCGCGCCTGTGGCTTCCGGAGGGGTCAACGAGGGGTGATTCGGGTCGAGAGGGGTGCCTGTTGAGGTGAAGGCGGTCGTGAGAGAACCGTCTTGGATGCCGAACATGTTTTCGTAGGTGGTCATTGCGCGAGAGACTTGGACGAATTGGACAAAAAGCAGCATGCCAACCCAAGTGAGCTGCAGAGTTGTCCACACAGTAAGGATTGCCGTGTAGCCATCGGCGTTGACAACCTTGCAGAGGCTAGGGCTAAGGAAGTTGCAGGTTTCTGAGACCTTGTCCGAAATGTCTGTGAAGTCTGCGCCATTGGTGTTAGCGTGGAAGTAGAGGTCAGGGTGCTAATACTTACAGTAGTAGACGAGGAAGTCATAGGACACAATGCCCAGCGTCAAGCTGATCAGGTACATGAAGAAGTGGCGGTGGTTGTTGATACCAACGCAATTATAAACCCAAGGGCAGTGACTAATCTGGTTAGCGAAGTTCTATATTGTAGACAAAAGGTCCACTCACTGATCGTGTTTTGCGACACACTTCTGGCACCTCTTGCAGTGCTTACTGCGGAGAGGCGTCCGGATCATGCACGTAACACAGAAGTTTGTCTCATCAAACTTCCACTCCTTGAGCAGCTCGTCAATGACGGCCTTTTGCTCGGCGATGCCGTTCATCTTGGGGACAAATCCGGGGTCGTATCTCATCGCAGCGCTGTAGAAATAGGCACAGAGACTGAGGAAAACGCCAAAGATCAAGTTGAGCCACCAGTGAGAGGAAGTGCCAGCTGTGTGATATTAGCAAACGACTCAGCGTCGTATAGTGTAGCAAAGCTTACCAGCAGACCCGGTAGTCGCGGGAAGAATAGTAGTCAACCACCTCAGACCGACCAAAAACAAAGATGCAGAGAAGATACCAGCCAACCAGGGCTACTCTTGTCAGTCCAGATCGTTAATAATGCCAATTGAGGGACTTACAGTCTTGTGGAAGTGTCTCATGTCGGGAGGCGCAAACTCGATGACCTGTTGAGCACACCACTGAAGCGCATAACCAACGACTAGAGAGAAGAAGACACCAGCAAAAACGTTCAAGCTTCCCAGTATCGTGATCATGGACCAGACCAGAAGGAAGGGCCACAAGAACAAGAACTTGGTCACGAAACCCCTCTTATCCTGGCGTAAGAAGCGCGAACCAGGGAAGCTAGGCTCGATCGGCTGTCCATCTTCATCGTACCCGCATTCCTTAAGGGCCCGATGCCATGCGCCAGTCGTGTGAAGCTCCTTAGCCGTGACAGCGGGCGTCTTGCCAGTCTGCGTCTTTGCGAATCGATCCGCTCCGTACTCGAGGAGTCTCTGTATACAGGCCGGGGAGCCCTTTACTAACGCCCAGTGAAGCGCGGTGAAGCCCTGCTCGTCCGTGGTGTGGATGCTAGCGCCCCAGCGGAGGAAGAGGTCCACGCATTGAGGGAAGCCCTTGTAGGCGGACCACATGAGCGCCGTGTGACCGTAACTATCGAGCACGTCTACGGGGATGCCTTGGTGGAGCAGGAGGACGAGGAGGAGGGTGTTGCCGTTGAAGGTCGAGATGTGGAGGGTGTTGTAGCCCTGGGCGTCGGTGATGAGGGGGTCGGCTCCGTGTTGGAGGAGGAGGTTGACAGTGTAGTAGTGACATCTCTGGGCGGCCCATTGGAGAGGTGTTGCGATGGACTCGCCTCCCTTCTTGTTGATCTCTGCGCCATTGTCGATGAGGAACTTGCACATAGCATACTGGTTGTTTATAGCTGCCCACTGGAATGGATTAGCACAATGAGATCAGACCCAGCTGTGACAAAGCTTGAGAGGCCTTGAAAGAGGTAGCATGCAACCTACATGCAAGGGTGTGATGCCTTCATCATCGGTGAAGGTCGCATCGTACTCGCCCGACTCGAAAAGCTTCTCCATGGCCGGAACGTCTCCTACACGCGCAACCTGCATGATGTCGTTCTCTGCGCTAGGCGCATCGCCGCCGATGCTTCCCATCTCCAGCTCATTATTCAGTGTGGGCGCGGCGGCGCTCGTCTTGTTTGCAGGTTGATTCGGGGCCACGGACGCGGCAGCGCCGGCGGCGGCGGCCGGCGTGGTAGATTTGTCCATCGAAGTCGGCGGGTCGGCGGTCGCGAGGGCCAAGCCTTTCTTTCGATGTCTCGATTTGAGAAGGAGTACGATCGATTATCGATTCGGAGGAGCTGTGGAGGGTGGGATAGGAAAGAGTATTATTTTGTTCGGGGAGTTTAAACTTCGGCTCGAACCTAGCGTCGCATTGCTTGAGGTAAGGGGATGGATGGATGGATGCGGTCCAGGCGAAAGAATTGAGACGGGGGGCTCGCACGCGCGCAACGGTGGACAGGGGTGTCACCAACAAACGAGAGATTGATGATAAACACAGCAGAGTGGAAACAAAAAGAGAAGAATGTGCCACAGTTGGAAGGAGGACGGAAAAGACGCCCGGAAGCCAAGAGTAACGAGATTGCGTGTCGTCAGCTTTGGCAGAGCTCGGCAGCGTTGGCAAGCGTTGACGACTGGGGAATTCGAGGTGAGCACCGAGTGCAGTGAGTGGAAGGGGATCGCCGGGAGACCCTCCCCCTAAATCGGACTAGCGAGGCTGAGCTGACAAAGGCGGGTCAACCACTGCTGCAGTCGTCTGCCGTGATAGCCGTGATTGGCTGGGGAAGACTCAGCGCCCCAAAGCTTGGCATAAAGTGCCAGTAACACCCATGCTTAGCCTCATCTCAGAGGTTAGGGCGGATTCCTCGGCCTCCCTCAGCCTCGTCCGAAAAAGCGGGTAAACTGTGGCTGAAGTTCCAAGGTGCACATACCACCTGCCACTCCTGCCACTCTCCTGTCTCTTGCGCTCGTTGGGGAAGGAAAGAGCTCCACTGACGGCATTTGGCGATTTCTTCTGGAAATCTGTCAACGACCACCCGACACGACTCACACCATACAACCCCTCCACCCCTAGTCAGCCGTTTCGCGCAGGGTATCCGGGGACTCTCTCAACACACTCGACAATTCTCACCATCGCCAGCAACAGCGAAACCGCAACCATGGCCGACAAGATGGGCTCTTTCACAGAGTTCCTCGAATTCATCATGACCCCCTCGACGCCCGTCATCCTCATCGGCGCCGCCATCGTCCTCCTCTTCCCCATCCTCCTCCACTACATCCTCATCAAGTCAACACCCTACACAACCCTCCCCTCCGTCCTCCTCCTCGGCCCCGCCGGCGCAGGCAAGACCGCCCTCCTCACCCTCTTCGAACGAGGCGACGCCCCCGCGACAACCCACACGAGCCAGCGCCCCCAAACCGTCGAGCTCACGGCCTCGCGCGACAGCAAGACGGCCCAGAGCTTCCGCAACCACGACGACACCAGCGGCACCCACACCAAGTTCCTCCTCGTCGACACCCCCGGCCACGGCAAGCTCCGCAACTACGCCCTCGGCAAGCTCGCCAGCGGCGCAGGCGGCAGCAACAGCAAGAACT